AAGAAAGAAGTATTCAGCCTGCGAGAACAGGCACTCAGAGAGGTGACACTGATAACTCCACCCAGTCTCCTTGCATGGAAAGACCAACAAGCAGAGAGGTGCCTGAGTTGCATAAAGAAACAATTTCTGAGACTGAAGAAAGAGGAATTCAGCTTGAAAAAGAGCTTGAAGAAGCAGAGATTCCGCAGCAAGAAACAGGAAATCATAACGAAGAAACAAATACGGAGCCTGAAGAACCAATGATTGAGCCTGAAATCTGCCGCCAAGCTGTAATTGACTATTGTTTACCGAAATCTCACACTTCTGCCTACCAGAAGTCCTATAGAAATGGGGTGAAGATACGGGATACAGCCCTAAAGGCTAAGACATACCTAGTTGCAAATGGATGGAAATTAATTCCTCTTGGGAACAATGACCAGAGAATTCGTTACCTTCCTCCAGAAGGAGAAAAGCCTTTTCTGTCTTTTCGGGGAGCTTGCAATTGGTGTGTGCAAAAGTGGAAAGCTGAAAGCCACTTACCTTCTTCCCAGTCAGCAGTGGTGGATAAACCTCTGATCTCCATTTTAAGAGAATCAAGGAAGAAGAGAAAGCATGCAGATGTAAAATCCAAGTCTTCTCTCAAAAAAGGAGATGGTGATATGCGATCAAGCAAAAGAGCTCGAAAGGTTGCTCCTTCCTCCTCAAATCAAATACCTCGGACAGTTTTATCTTGGTTGATAGACAAAAATGTGGTCCTGCCACGTGCTAAGGTAAAATATTGCGAATTGAAGAATGGTAATCCGATGGCACAAGGGCGGATAACTCGTGAAGGGATCAAATGCAACTGCTGCCAAAAAATATTTGGTCTTCGTAACTTTGAAGCTCATGCTGGGAGCATCTGTAATAGACCTTCAGCAAATATATATTTGGAGGATGGAAGGTCTCTTCTCGAGTGTCAAATGCAGATGAAACGCAAACATAGTACAGAAAACAAAGAGAGTAGCCATTTTACCGAAAATGACTATATATGTTCTGTGTGTCATTATGGTGGTGACTTAATACTCTGTGATGGATGCCCTTCTTCATTTCATCCTGATTGCCTTGGGATTAAGGTATCTCTTCCATACTGTTTATTGTATTTCTTTTTCTTAATCTTCAATCAAAAAGCTAATTGCTTTATTTTGCAATTGTTTAAACAGGAGGTTCCAAATGGTGACTGGTTTTGCCCATCATGCTGTTGTAAAGTGTGTGGTGAGAGCAGATTTGATAAAGACAGAAAACAATTTACAGATAACACCCTTCTCATTTGTTGTCAGTGTAACCATAAATGTGAGTAACTATTTGATCTTTCTTATATGTTCCAACAATATTTTGTAATCTTTCCAGTATAATCCCGTGACGTGTTTGAGCTCTTCTATACCGATTAATACTTGATTCCATGCAGATCATGCTCGGTGTGTGAGAAACAACGGTCTTGAAAAACTGGATGATTTTCCTGTAGGAAATTGGTTGTGTAACAAAAGTTGTAAGCTGGTAATTGAAGTGTGCTTTCCTTACAGGGCATTTTTAAGTCGTTGAGAAGTTTATAGAATGCACTTTTAGGAAAACGTGCAATGATATGAATGCTATATTTGGTTGTGAAGCATAGTGATTACATGCTTAACTAGTGCCATTTACATTTTCAGTGGATTTTCAACTATGAGACATTTTATCGGAGACTTTTTTTTTCAGATATGTTTGGGTATGCGTCAGCTCCTGAAGAAATCGGTTATAGTGGGTAATGATGACCTCACCTGGAGACTGTTGAAATATACAGAACCTGATGACGAGTCCAGTGTGGAGATCTATAGCCGACTTTGTGTCGCTTTGAATGTGATGCACGACAGCTTTGAACCAGTCAAAGAACGTCTCACAGGGAGAGACATTGCAGAAGATGTCATATTTAGTAGATGGTAAGATTCATAGTTTCAAGAGAAGTCAGTCTAGTATTCTGATGTTATCTATTCAGCACCATATTAGTGCTCCACTTTTAATTTTAATCATTTACTTATCACACATTTGGGTTCAGCTTCATAATTGACTTTATCAAAAAATGGAAGGGCACTAACTATTTCAACTAAACACCAACAAAATCTGAAATTGCAGGTCCGAGCTGAACCGGTTAAATTTCCAAGGCTTCTACACCGTACTATTGGAAAGAAATGACGAACTCATTTCAGTAGGGACTGTAAGGTACTCCCGGGTTTTATATTCTCAGGACGAACTGCCACTAGTTCTGTTTTCCTTGTTAACTTCTCCATGATTCTAAAAGTGATAAACAAATTTTTCACACTAATTATGTACTTTTACTGTCATTTCAAAGGGTTTATGGAGAAAAAGTGGCAGAGATCCCACTTGTTGCAACACAATTTAAGCACCGCCGACTTGGAATGTGTCGCATTTTATTTAATGAGCTTGAAAAGGTATGCATTTTATTTGTTTGGAAATAAATATTTGTTATCTCATGATTAAAAGAATCTCAAAGGTTTCACGTTCAACTTAGTGACTAGTTTCTTCTTTTGTTTCATTTCTGTCCAGACACTCGCGGGATTGGGAGTTCAGAGGCTTGTATTGCCAGCTGTCCCTGGTGTCCTCAACACATGGACCAAAAAATTTGGTTTCTCAGTGGTGGGACAATCAGAGAGGGCGAATTTCTTCGACTACACCTTCCTAGATTTCCAGGGCACTATAATGTGCCAGAAAGTCCTTGAAAGGACCCCCGCTGAAGACAATGTTGTTGTTTCCGAGGTGTTTCAAGCGACACAAGTTGAGGGTTGCGCAACTGTGGACCAAGGTTCAGTCCTATACATACTCATGTCATTCCATAGAAATAAATTTCTTAGTTATTGGATCCTTGTCATAATTAACCATCATTTGTTATTTTTAACAGGTTAACCAACAAGCTTGATCAACCTTAGCAGCCTACCTTGCCAGTGATGATCGCAATGATAGTGGCCTGGTAAAATGCTACAAGCTGAGTCGGACCTACCTTGCCGTGTATAAAGCAAGTTTTTTTTCAGAAGGGGTGATACTCAACAGTGAGCTGGTGAAAAGGTTGAACCAGCAGAGGAGCTGTGTGTACCTATCTCTTAAAGGATAGTGTTATTTAAGAAACTTGGATATTTGTACTCAGGTTTAATATTTAGTTTCCCTCCGAGGGAATTTATTGAGACTGTGATATGTGTAAAGCTGATTAGATTAGTTCAATTTGGCTTCAGCAGCTTTTGTATTGTTCCTAATAGTATCATACATAGAGCCAGTTTTTCATTTGCTTTCATATATGTTGTTTTGCCTAGAACAGAGTTTTTCTCTTGACTGCTAATACTATAACTGCAAAACTTTTGCTGAGATGCAAGTTGTAACCAAGGTTGCGTACAATAGGCCGTTGTGGTAGTGTCTCTCCCCCCGCCCCCAGACCGTTGTGGTAGAGTCCCTCCCCTGCCCCCGCCCCGTGCATAAGTCAAGCTTAGTGCAGTGTGCTGTCTTTTTTAATCTAGAATATAATTTCTACTGTTCTAGTATTGAAAGTTAATTGCATTGGTTCACTAACCTTCGCCAATTACATTGGCGGACCAGGAGAAGCAATTTGCTGGGCTCCGTTCTTCTTCATTCTGAATCCTGCAAGCAATTTGCAGGGGAGAGTTCAGTATCTATCTATCAATTCGATCAAATAAAACTGCGCCATTTATAGATATTGAAATGAATACCTTCCCCGCTCTCCTCCGTTCTTCCTCAATTTAGATCCTGAATCTAAATTCTCCTTGATGCTTAGTAGCAAGCAAATTGCAGAGAACAGTTTCATATCTATCAATTCCATTTATTACTCTGAGAAATTGTCATGGTTTAAAGACATTGAAACCAACACCGTCCCATTCTCCCTCCGTTCTTCTTCATTCTAGATTCTCCTCTCCGTTCTTCCGTGTAGTAGCAAGCAATTTACCAGTGAGAGTTTCGTATCTATCAAGTCGATCAAATAGACTAAGCAATCATCACCGTATATGGATATTGAAATAAACCTCTTCCTCATCTAATAGCAATTAGTTTGGTTTACACTCCCCTTCGTTTCAACTTCAAACATCCAAATTTTCAAGTTTCAACTTCATAATCTACCACAAAAAAGCGAGAGATCTGCCTAACCCGTGACACTCTGCTCCATTTCTTCTGTGTTATTCAGAGCAACATTATCCTCTTTCTGGTTTAGCCTTTAACAAGACAATAACAGGAAACGCAAACGTCTCTGTCAAGTAGGGTAAACAAACACCTATGAAGCTTTCTATTAAGTTTTTTTTTTTTAACTTTGAAGAGAAAGTTACTGTATTTCTATCTTGTTTTACGTAAAATATACACTACTACTATTACGAAATAAATATTTTTTTGGAAACGTGAAAAATCAAAATTTCCAGCTAATATGATGAATCCTCCAAAAAATGTCTCCTTTTTTGGTACATTTTAAAATCAAAATAGCTTGAAAATTGAAGTTTTTCCTAGTTAAAATATTCAGATTCGGATATTATCAACTTAAGTACTTAACAGTTAATATTGAAGATAGATTAACATGGGTTTTCTGTTAGTTTTCACTCGGTGTTTTTAAATATATTATTTTTATATTCTATCATAGTGAAAAAAGAAAGGTGATTTCCATTATAACTCAATAAAACTCAATATGTCTTGATTTAAATACTAAGATAATTTATGTTACTTCTTTGACTCAAAAATTTAAGGGCAAC